GCTGAGCTACCCAAGGGAAGTTTCCACACAGAGCTCAACTCATAAACTCACTCCTTCAACTTTTCTGCCCTTTCAACTCAGTAACCCACTTTCAAAATTGCAATTATGAGGCAATACATAGCAAAAATAAAAGGATCCCCGACAATGTCACAAATAATTGTGCCATGTAACACCTGATGGTCTTTTTTTTTTTTTTTTTCAGTGAAAAAAAATGATTTCTACAGAAGTTAAGAGCTATCTTGAAGCTGAATGGACAAATGTTCATCTATACCATATGGGTAATTCTTTCTAGACTGGTCATGGAATGACCAGCTTTGTGCTGGAATGTGTGTTAAACTTAACATAGTATGCTGATTTCAAAACAACTGTCAGATTTTTCTTTTGTTTAGAGATATACTTCATGGAAATGTTGCCGTTAGCTTGAAATTCTCACTCAGGTCTCTTAAAAAAGCCTTCCCATAAACTTAAAAAATCCTAACCCACCTCAGGTGTCACTAAATAAAAATAACATTTGTCACAATTACCTATGTGGGGGGGGGGGGTGAATTAACCAAATTGACTCTTATGAGGTTCTGTTAAGTCTTTTTGAATTGTTATAACAGGCATTAGTGGAATATTGATTAGTAACTAAAAGCCAAAATCGACTTAGTTGATCAAGGACCGACCAAAAAATAACCACCAACAACAAAAAACAACAAAAAAGAAACCACCCTGGGAAACGTTGATCTTATTATTTTGCTTTTTTAGGGATATCCTTAAGTCTGGGTCAAATCAATCCATCATCAACAACTCAACTGAATACTTGGTATTCTACCTTGGAACAAGGAAACCCGATCCATCGATTACTCTAATATTATCTGAGATACACTAAATTACTCTCATTTTAAAATCTGTTAAACAGAGAATGTCAAAATCTTTTATGCTAAGAAGGAATATTCTTAGCTGAAATTTCATGACTGAAATTTGATGAACTTTGTGCATTTCTTGGTGAAATGTTGCCTCTCAGTATATTTCAATGTCTTCTGGCTTAAAGAGTCAACTCTATGCTGCAACTTTTGAACCAGGATGTCTGTTTTATATTAAAATGATATGTTTACTATTCTGCACCAGCACTGCAAGGCATGGGAAGGAAATGCACACACTATTCTAATGCAGGCTGCCTTTAAGAAGCCACCTTAACTGACAATCATATTCCAGTGTATATTTTCATGAAGTCGCTTGGTCAGAAATGTGTTTCATCGTTTACCTACCATTTTAACTTGTCTTTTCAGTATGAACCCTAGGTCACTGAACTGTGAACAACATTTAATTATAGGCTCAATTCTTCATTGAAAATGACAGGATCTTATATATATATATTTGTCAAGTTGACTATTATGTGAAAATGAAGATTGAATATAAATCTGGAAGCTCTACAATAATTACCTAATAAAAAATGCCCAGCCTTTTCACTTAGAATAGTAAGTCCTTAAAAATCCCAAGATGTGATTCTATGGTATTTTCCAATGTCAATCAATCAATAATTTCTTAAGTGCCCACTGTATGCTTATGTTTTTTTGTATAACAAATTTCAATATTTTCATCTAAGATGAGGAGACAAAAGCCCAGAGAACCATTTGTCATAATCACATTTTTTAAATAAGAAAAATAAGGCTATGTCTTCAATCTTCAACTCCCAACTAAACTAATTTAATTTGTATTTATATTGATCTGAGGGTTTTGTTCTAGCTCCTTGACGCTCGAAGCTGGTCTGCAGCCCAGATATACACCTGTCATCTAGAGTTTGTTGGAAATACTTGTAAACCACCTATCTGATGAGAAGTTAATGTACAAAATATATAATGAGCTTATATAACTCAATAGCAAAAACCCAAAACAATCTGACTGAAAAATGGGAAGAGGGCCTGAATAGACATTTTTCCAAAGGAGACATGAAAATCACCAACGGGTACATGAAAAGGTGCTTGACATCACTAATCATGAGGGAAGTGCAAATCAAAATGAGACATCCCCTCCTACCTGTTTGGATATCTATTATCAAAAAGACAAGAGATAACAAGAACTGGGGGAGAATGTGGAGAATAGGGAGCCCTTGTGCACTATTGATGAGAGTGTAAATTGCTATAGCTACTATGGAAATTAGTATGGAGGTTCCTCAAAAATGTAAAAAGAGGCCCACCACATGATCTAGCAATCGCACATCTGACAATATACCTGAAGGAAAGGAAATCACTATCTTGAAGAGATGTCTGCAACCCCATAGTCACTGCAGCGTCACTCACAATAGCCAAGACACGGAAATGACCTACGTGTCTATCAATGGGTGAATGGATAAAGAAGTTGTGTTATATGCATATATGAAATAAGTCAGACAGAGAAGGACAAGTACTGTGTGATCTCGCTTTCATGTAGAACCTAAAAATGTCAAATTCATAGAAGGGGAGAGAGAGCGGAACACTGATTGCTGGGGCTGGGGGGTGGGGGTAATGGGGAGATGTTGATCAAAGGGCACAGACTTCCAATTAGAAGATGAATAAGTTCTAGGAATCTAATGTACTGCATGGTGACAACAGTTAAAAATGCTATTATATACTCAAAAAGTATTGTTAACTAACTTGGATTTAAATTTAAAAAAAAGAAAACAGAAAAAAATAAGAAAAAAATCATTTGAATAAACTGTGGATGAAAACTTTCCATATTTGATGAAAGTTATAGAAGCACAGATCTAAGAATCTCAAAAACCCCAAGCAGAAGAAACAAAGAAAACCACATCAAAGCACATCATAATCAAATTGCTCAAAACTAATGACAAGACAAATACCATCTGATTTCACTCAGGTGTGGAATTTAAGAAACGAAACAAATGAGCAAAGGGGAAGAAAAGAGAGGGGGGTACAAACTAAGAAACAGACTTTTAACTAAAGGGAACAAACTGATGGTTATCAGAGGGGAAGTGGGTGGGGGGATGGGTGAAATCAGTGATGTGGGTTAAGGAGGGCACTTGTGATGAGCACCGGTTGTTGCATGGACGTGCTGAATCACTATATTATACACCTGAAACTAATATTACACTGTATATTAACCAAAAAAAAAGAAGTGTTAAGAGAGTAAATCAATTATTTATTTATTTATTTATTTATTTATTTATTTAATTTATTTAAATTCAATTTAGTTAACATATATGTAGTATCAGTTTCAGGACTACAACTTACTGATTCATCACTTACATGTAACACCCAGTGTTCATCCCAACAAATACCCTTCTTGATGGCCATCACCCATCTAGCCCATCCCCCCTGCCGCCTCCCCTCCAGCAACCCTCAGTTTGTTCTCTGTATTTAAGAGTCTTTTATGGGTTGCCTCCCTTGAAAAGAGTAAATCTTATTTTTTTAATGTCTATTTATTTTTTGAGAGAGAGAAAAAGAGAGCACATGTGGAGAAGGGGCAGAGAGAGAGGGGGACCGAGGATTTGAAGCAGGCTCCACACTGACAGCAGGGAGCCCGATGCAGGAGTTCGAACTCCTGAACTGCGAGATCATGACCTGAGCTGAAGCTGGAAGCTTAACTGACTGAGCTACCCAGGTGCCCTGGGTGTTCTAACCACCACACACATGCACACACATACACACAATTACACACAAAGGTAATTATGTGAAGTGATGAAGATGTTAACTAACCCTGTTGTGGTAATCATTCCACAGTATATACGTGTATCATATTACACTGTTCACCTTAAAGTTACACAATGTTATATATGAATTATAGCTCAAAAAAGCCAGAAAAAAAAAGAGATACCATATCTCAGGCCCCACCCTGACCTGTTGAATCCTAATCTGCATTTTATATGATTACCAGGTGATTGATAAATTTGAGAGTGACTGATACACATTGTACCAGGAAATTAGAAGTTTTATAATATAATTTTAATATTGGAGGAAAGGGCTATTAAGATATAACTAATAACGTGATTAAACTATTCAGTGGCTGAAGAATGAATTATTCATTGTTATTAATTATTGGTTTATAAATAGATTGAGGTTTTTGCTTTGTTTGCTGATGAGCACTATTTACATGACAATGGAATAACTCCTTAAGGATTAAGAAATTAAGACATTTTTATATAATACTAAATAATTAGTTCGGATGACTTGCTGTCTGAATTAAATATTTATTTTGGAGGGATGTATGTGAGCTTAAATGTTATGTCTCAATGCTTTCGTGTACAGGCATGGTGGATGCCATTATTTCAATTCTATAGGTGAAGAAAATAAGCCAAAGAATTTAAGCAATCACATAGCAGGTTGGACACATTCTACCAGCTTAACATCCGCAGTGGAAAAAGGAACACTTGCCTGTCTTATCGGCTGGGGCAGAAAATCCTGGAGAGTACTTTCTCTGCCCCATTTTGAGTCACTTTGGCCAGAGGAATAGGATAAACGCTTGGACAGGGCTGGGTCATGTGACCACTCCTGTGGCCAAGAGGAGAGGAATAAAGAAATAATAGGATTCAGGGCGTACAAAGTGGGAGGAAGAGGTTGCCCCTGGAAAGAGAGCTTCTGGTTGTAGAAGGCTAAACAAAAATCAGTATAGATGGTAAGTGTGTGAACTGCACCATGATCATACACTGAGGCGTTTTGATTTCTTTTCAATTACCCTTTACTGAAGCATTGAAAGAGTAGTTTTCATTTGGTTGTGGTGATGAGATGCATCCATATTGAAATCTCCTGGAAGAATATGTAAGCACACGCTCACCAGCATAAAGCCCTAGACTGATATAGTAAGAATCTTGGATGAGAGTGGGTGGGACAATATACGTGTAGGATCCCAGGTTTCAAGAGGTGTCTATTTGCACTTAGGTATTTTAATTTATTCAAAATGTTTTCCGAATTGCATTTTAATTGCACAGTGGTAAGTGATTAGGTAGTGTAAGGCTTCTTGGTTTTAAAAATGTTGTCTTTTTATTTCAAAGAAAATGAGTATGTGTCATATTTCTTCTTTAGGTAACCGCGCCTGTGGAAAGTCCACCGGTTCATTTTGAGAATTCGTGTTAGTATTCATGCAGCAGCTGGGGCCTTACCTGGGAAGAGATAAATAGCCCCCAAGCATTTGCCTTGTAAAACCTTGCCAACAACCCATCATTAAAACTTAAAGTAAATGTTTGCCACGTTTCTTTAATGCTCCCAGTATGTGTGATGATCAACATCAATGATTAAAATGAGAATTATCAATCTTGAGGTTATTAATTACTAATGTCTTTTAGCCCCATTAATAGGAATAAGTTTGAGAAAAATATCAATCAATGCTATCTTTCTTAAGTAATCTTTTCACTGCATGCATCTGAAGGTTAGGCTGTCGAAAGTCTTCAAGCCCTTACCAAAGTCCTCAACCTCTCAATAAACATGTATTAATGCATTCTTTATCTCTTCCTTGAGTGTCCCTCAATTCTAAGGTATTTTTCACTTTTGGATCTTTATTGTAAAGTGTTTTATTTAAATCTCTCTTTTCTAGTCTTTACAGGTGATAGCTACCAATCATCTCCAAATCAATTGCTCATTTCTTTCAATGTAACATGATTAATGATACCTCCAGTTCTTTGGCAATGACTATATCTGCAATAATAGAATGCTGCTTATTCTTGTTTGAAATTCCCTTGCCCTTTCTAATATCTGCCCTTCTATAACCTTTTCCTTTTTCAACAGGGTGCGTGACGAGATACCAGTCTCTAACCATTTAGTTCATAGAAAAATCCCCTGAAGTCTTTTGAACTGGAGTTCTTTTTAACCCAAACACTGAAAGCCTCTTCTGTGTAGTACAAATCTTTCTTCATCTTCTAAAAGTCACTTCAAAAGGTGTTTCATTTTTCTAGAAAACTAGTAAACCTCATTATACTCAGATGCCATCTTGTTCAAAGCTTTTAATACTTTGTTTAAGGCATGTTACCACTGTGCTAGGGAAAGGCTTACCTCATGTAAAGATATTTACAGCATCTGAGTAGACCGTGTAATCCAATCACCTTGCTCAGTGTAGCCAGAATGTGAAAAAAAAAAAAAAAAAAAACCACTCAAATTAAGCTGCTCTCTTTCTATTCCTTGACTGTAACTACTTTAACCTCATACCTTTTGAAAACCAAAACCAATTATTAAAATTAAGTCATATAGAAATAATTCCTTCTTTCCCAAGTTCCTAATAAAAACTGAAATTGAATTTTATTGATGGCCCTCAAATTAAGCTCTCTGTGGTTTCATTCTCAACATTAGCAACAAGACGACTATTAAAAACGAAATCAAAATCCAAGATTCTGCTCTTAATCTTGCATTGCTAAATTTAAGAAGCTTTATGTGTCATGGACATGAAATATGCCTATGTATTCATGAGATATTTTAAGCCTAAAGGCAAGCCATCTGTCCACCTTTGTGTCTCCCTACTCTTCATGCTACTCTCCTTCCCACCCTTAGTATCTCTTCCTTTTAGTTTTAAAGCAACAGACGGGTTTCAGAAAAAATACACACATGAGCTCATTTGTTGGCAAAAACTATGTGTGTATCATTTATGTTTATACGATGTCTATTTCTGTTTACATATCCATATATCGATTTGGATACACAGAAAAAGCACTGGAAGAGACTCACCAGGTTATTTACATGAGGAGGAATGGGATGAGTTGGTGTGGAGGACAGGGTATAAAGACAGACTTTCCCGCACGTGTTTCATTTTCCAGATTTCAGTAAAAACATACGTTTAACTTGTGTGAACATTTTACAAAGTTAAATGCACTTTCAAACTATTGCTTGATACTGATAAAGAACTGGGGGCATGGGCAAAATCCCAGTTCCTTGGTCATTGACATCCTACCCTGCCAAGCATCGAGGTGAAAAGAAGTGATTTTTAATAAGGTAGAACAAACAACAGAAAACAGAGAAGGTGAGGAAGTTGAAGAATGGAAAGGAGCCGCGGCTTTGGTAGCAAGAATTCATGGGAGATTTTCAAGAGCATAATTTCAGCAGAGTAGAAAGCAAGAGTAGAAATCAGAAGTTGGAGTAAGCTGGGGGACTGGAGGAAGTGTGCGAAATTTTTCCAGCCAAGTGTGAGCTACCTGTTTTAAGACATTGATACTTTAGGAAATGAGAGAAGCAGAATCAGCCCAAAAGAATAATGGAGCAGGAATGATTTTTATCGTATTGGGGTCTGAGGGGGATGAGAATATAGTCAAAGTCTTATGGAAATATAAGAATTTGGGTATTTGATGTCATAAACTCCAGGAGGAGGTCTTGAGATGGCACAGGAAAAGTTTTACAACATGACTATATAAAAATATGCAATGATGGCCAATTCTATTGAGAGACTGGCATCTTTACCCAGTAAAAATTTTGGCCAAGTAAACACTGGTCTTTTTTTTTTTTTTAAGTTTATTTATTTTGAGAGAGAGGGAGAAAGAGAGTACGAGTGGGGGAGGGACAGAGAGAGAGGGAGAGAATCCTAAACAGGCTTTGCGCTGTCAGCGTGGAGCTCAACGCGGGGCTTGAACTCACAAACTGTGAGATCATGACCTGAGCTGAAAACAAGAGTTGGCCCCTCAACTGAATGAGCCACCCAGGCACCCCAACGCTGGCCTTTTTTTTTTTTTTTAATAAAGAAAAGCACTGTAGCCAGATGTTTTGGTCTCAAAGAACTCCATTAAGAGAGAAGGGCCACAATAATGACGTTTTACTTAAGCACTTCATTTGTGTCTACCTCAGCAATAACACAGCAATGATCAGACCCTCCAACAAATCCTTGCAACCTAGTTAGCTTTTCTGTTCCTCCTGGCATGTGATGCTGAAACCTCATGGGGAGAACTGTGCTACTTTTTAATAAAAACTATCTGGACAGCATTTAACTGGAGCATTAACCTGTTTTGGAGAACAATAGATCTGCTGACACTTGCATGTCTCTGGCAATTAAATGACCAGAAGAAAAATACAAGTGACACTTCTAAATTTAGAGAGTGAAGATAGATTAATTAAGGCCCCAAGTAGATACACTCATGTAAAATCATAAATATGTGTAATGAACTTTTAGGTTATCTACAAGATGCAAGGCGCTATGTTGAGTATCAGGGTAAATAAAAGCAGCTTATGTATTTGAGGAAGATGAACATCTTTTTAATATATTTAGGGTTATATATTTAAATTTGTAAAAATGTCTCTTAGAACTATAAAAGTACATTATAATCCTCCTATAAAAGTTTTACATGACCATTAAGCCTTAGAAAATACAGCAATGTATCAAATGGAGAATTAAAATCACTTTTAATCCCTCTACCACTCAGAAATGGTGCTATTCATACTTTGATGTATTTACTTAGTCTCTTTTCCCCATCCGTTGCCTTCTACCTGGCCAATAGCCTAGTATCTCCACTGGTTGGAGCCCTCAGAGTAGAATTACTGGATCAAAGGGTACAGAGGTTTAAGACTCTTGAGATGTATTACTTAGTTGATTTCAAGAAAGGTTGATTCAGCTCATGTGCACTTGCCTGCATTAAGTGTATATATCTCTTAAAAATCTTCAGCATCTAGCGTGGACAAAACGTGCAATTTCATTGTTTTAATTTTCATTTTATTTATTTGAATAACCAACATTCATTGAAAAATTACCACGTGCTGAGTGCCAATCTGAGTGCCCCTCTTTAGACATACATGTGAATATGACAGTCTCTGTCCTCAAGAAGCCCAATACGGAGGACAGCGCTCACATAGGAGGTGGCTCGAAAAATAAATGCTTTGATGAGGCATTGTGTACACCCCATGTAGTGGGAGCAAAAACGAAGGGGTATTTAACTTTCCATGAAGCGATGGGCTGAGTTGATTTTTATTTTTCTCATGGAGGATGAAAAGTGAACTGTAGTTGTAAACACCCTTTAATTTGAATACAAGTCTATGAAAGAAGGTTATCATTTCCATTTTGCAGATGAAGAGACAAAGTTAAAGAGGTAATTATTTACTTTGGGTGACAGATTCAGCAAACAACAGAGAGAAAATTAGAATGTATGTCTGTCTTATATCAGAACCCCAGCATTTTATATCCTTCCTACATTGCTTCTCTGCATCTCCCAAGAAGATATTTGTTATATACCCCTTTTTTGTTACGGTATTTAAGATCTCTATCTCTATCATCTATCTATCATCTATCTATCTATCTATCATCATCTATCTATCTTTCTATCTATCATCTATCCATCCATCCATCCATCCATCCATACACATCTTTTGTTTGTTTAACCTGGGAATCCTGGCCTACTTCAGAGATCAATTTGACTTTCTAGTCCTGTTCCTGCTCAAATGCTCAAAGCACTGAGGGAGCTCGAAGCTCAGGCTGAATGGTACACAGAGGCCACCAAGAGCCACCTGCTCTTGTTTCAGCTGAGGAGGCTGAGGCTCAGAGAAGGGGGCACCATAGTCACTTGTGGTGGAGAGAACACAAACACTGACATTTCTGATTTCTGCTCCACTGGCCTGCCTCCATACCACACTGTCCTTGGTGTTTACAGTTTGGTTCAACAAAATATGAGGTTTGGACCCAAATCAAGTGCAATTTAAAATTTGTGGGTCAGGATCCATTTTTGTTCAACTTCTTGCTCTTTGTTGGCTGAACTGTACAGAGGTATTTAGACAGTCTGCTCTGCTCCCTCCCGTAGGGATGAGGAAGGGAAAATACTGAACATTTAAGTACCTCCTCACTATATGCCAGACACTTATGTACTTTACAACATGCAGTCCTCACAACTCCTTCATGTATCTATTATAAGCTCCAAGTCACAGATGGGAGCATAGGGGGAAATGTACAGGGAGTTTAAGGAACCTAAATTGCTCAGCGTAGAAGTAGAAGTGGGAGAATTGGGACTTGGTCTGTTCGACACCAAAGACTATGCCCTTTTCACTGAATCCCACAGCTTCTGAACCCTTATCCAAAACTGATGAAATCTTGCATATTGGGCATATACATTATGATCTGGTGGTAAATACTAAGTTCTACTTCATTTTCTGCTGCTCCTAAATCTAAATACCTGCCCCTGTCACCTTAGCTCCAAGCATATGGAACTTCTTTCAGTTCCTGGAATGAGTCACTGGATCTCTTGCTTGGGACTGAGCAAGAGACAGTGCAGGATTCTAAGGGAATTGTA